TTTAATTAGTGTGGGTTATATTTCCTTTTCATTCTACTTCAGTTACAGCATCAACAAATTCTATAGCAGCATAATTTGCTTGTTTTGTCCCCATATAATGTATAAAAATACATCATTTACTGATTTTGTGTATAGCCATATTTTTCCCCTCCCCACTTATATGAGTATCAATCACAAGAACAACTTGCACAAACATGTGGAGCTTCCAAAAGCATTGTTTTTTAGTTGAGCTTATGTTAGTATTTCCCAGTGTCCTGCATCTATAGATGGTGAAATTGAGAAATTTCCGGATAACTACATAACAGAATTGTAGACCACACTAGTAGAATCTGTTTCTATTAATCTAATAAATACTTATTGTATTCTATAAAATACTTTGTATGTTTATATATATATTGTATGTACTTATATATATATATTATCATAGTAATCATTCTAGTACATGTCATTCATTTACCATGAAGCAAACATTTTTTGAGCCTGCTCTGTGCCAGGAACTATGCTAGGAGCTCTGCATTGCACAGTCTATGCCTTCTAGGAGCTTACAAGCAAGTGGGAGAAAAAAAGAAGCAAAAAAAAGTCTATGTGCCATTCTAGAGATAAGCACTAGGGTGCTGTGGAAGCACTTGGAGGGGATACTTGTTGAAGTAGGAAGTGATGTCTCAACAGATGTGGTTTTGATCTGAGTCAGTGTAGAGTGGATCTGACTAGGGGACCAATGTGTGTTGATAACCAGTTTCGGCCTCAATTGTGGTATCATTCACAGGTTAGAGAATACAGGAGGGTATGCAGATTTAGGTTGAGAGTGAAAGTAACCTGAGTTCATTTCTGGATATTTTGTATTTTAATTACTTGTGGAATATGTAGGTGGAGAAGTCTAGTGAAACAGAGTGGATAAGAATTCTGGTGAGAGATGTTATATCAGTCACCCATGAATAGGTAGCAAAAGCCATAAGAGTCACTTAAAATTAATAGAAAATAGCAGTGCCAATTTGCCTTCATTTCTCCCATTCTCCTTCCACTTGGTTTCATTCTTCACATTTGACATAATTTTCTGTACTTATATTTTCAGCCATACCTGGCCTTGTTCTTCAAAAGATATGAAGTGGCCTACATAAGAACCTTAAAGTAGAAATAGGGAATGACAAAATTAGACTATGAGAAATTAGGTAGTTTGAACTATCAGAGCTTACCTAGTTCTCAAAAGAAACAAAAACTTTACACCGGGACATGAGCATTTAAAAAAAATCATCTTGTGGCAGCTTGTACTGGTTTGAACAGTTAAGTGAAATAGGCTTCATTGGGCTACTTCTCTTCAAGGGTCTGAGTGTAGGCCAAGGGTTACACTAAATAAAGTAAAATTAGTCTGGAGGGGTTAAAATCATGTGGCCCAAGTATTCAGCCTGCTGATGGTCTGTCTTGATCAGAGGCTTGCACAATACTCAAAGAAGACTTTATAACATAATGTCTATCAACTTGGTTCTTTTTAATAGTAGTTAATAATGAACAGAGCAAAGTAATATCTTCTGGTAATGGCCTAGAGTATGCATATTCTTTGGTACTATCACTAGCAGATCTATATGTTACAAAGAATAGTGATAGAATATATTATATGGACTTAATTTGTATATGCTGCTTTAGCAGATTTTAGAATTGTAAGTCAGCTATGAATTCAATAGTATTTTTCCCTATAACATGATTTTCATTTTAAATAGATAGGAATAATTTGTTTTACTGTAGATTTGTGGTAATTATTTTCAAATGGACTAAGGGGAGTTATTTTATCCTTTAAAACAAGACTTTGTAAGATTCTGAGCCAGAAAAGCTTTACTGAGCTATGGCTAGGAATTGAGAAGGTTTAGCACCATGAGGGTGCCCTGCCCTTTATTCAATTAATTGATAAGAAATTACAGGTGCCAACCACTGGGTTTTGACTAAAGATAGTACTCATGGCTGTTGTGCTTTTGCTTGCTACTCATTCTGAAAATAGTTGTTTCCCACTTCCAACGGAGCTTTTTGAAACCAAAACCATCATCTTGTCACTGATGAGTCACTCTCTGAAGTTTATACTTACATTTCAGATATTGAAGCCATACTTTGAACAATGGAGAAAAAAATAGATGAAATTTTGTCCTTTGTAGCTAAGTCAATAAAAATTACAAACATATATTGGAATGATTTTTAACACTGCTTATTATAGTGCCCATTGTGTTGGGATGAGACAAAAAACACCCATACAAATATGAGGGCTGATATCTGGCTGGCACATATGTACAGCCCTTTTGAGTATTTACATCCGATGTCCATTTGGATTGGTCAGAGTATCTGTTGTAATTTGTTATGTAACAAACTCGGCTCTAGAGTTTGTTAAATATTTTTAGTATCACCTGTGCATTTATGTATAATTTAAGGGTATTCGAGTAGGAAGCAGGAAGGGTGTTGGTACGAGTTAATAAAGAGTTTCTATCTGTAGACCCCTCTTGCCACAAAAGACATTTACATTTTATATTTCTTTGTCTAAATGTCTAAACCTTACACCATAATTCCTGACCCAACTTAAATGTCCCTCTTCCACAAAACCTTCCTTGAGCTCCTCCACGCAGTGTTTATGTCTTCCTCCAAAGATATAAAGCATATTATCTATACTTCTTGTACAACAGTAATCATTGTCTAGCTTGTAATAGTTATAATCATCACCACTCTCCGCTAAGAGACTATGTTTGAATATATATTAGTTCATTTGATTCTCACAAAAACTCAACATGGCTTTGGTATCCTTCTCTCTCTTTTTTCAAACTAGAAGCTGAAGCAGGAAGAGGTTAAGAAACATTCCCAAGGTCCAAATTCTCTATAAGTGCAATTCAATATCATTTAAAATGATGTTTAGGTATAATTGAAATAATTATAAACATTATATGTTACATACTTTTTGGGTTGAGTCCTTTTGTAAGATTCACCCAGTGATATAAACTTCAATTGGAATATTTTAGGAAAAAGTATTCCCAGGTTTCAAACAGCTTCCTCGGAGAGAAAGTCACATAGCATGATGTTTAAAGCAGAGATCTGAAAGTTGCCCACATTTGAGTTTGTCTGCTTTTTCAGTGACTTAGTAGACAGGAGACATGGTCATGTTGCAAAACCCTTTTTAGCCTCTATTTCTGAATTTGTAACATGGGGTTAATAATAGAACTTATTTCCAGTAGTGAAGTTTGTCGCAAATGACACCCTCAGGCTTAATGCTCAACCTGACACATTGTAGTGCTCAGAAGGTGTTAGCCGTCATCTCCTTACTGTTTATACACTTGGAGATTACCCTCCATTTGTAACATGGGTACTACCCACATCATCACTGAAGTAAAGCTCTTTTATAAAGTTACAAATGGTAATCCCTCACCCCTTTTCCTTTTATACTCCAGCCAGGTCTGGAAGAATACCTCATCAGCAAGGGAAAGAGGAGAGGGAGAAATCCAATGCATGTGAAGGACAGGAAATCCAGACCTGTTTTCAGAACCTCCTGGTCTTTCAGAGGCCCTTTCTTACCTTATCTTACTTGAACATATTGAGAATTCTTAGTTCAAAATAACTGATACTTGAAATTCTGTTCTGGGCCAATTGGCCCTCTAAGTCTGTTGATTTACACTGTTCACGGTTTTGGATAATTCATTGCCAGCTCATTTTGTTTGCATTTAGATAACTAACAATACATTTATATCAGTATAGAAATAGAAGTAAACGCTTTTTATATTTTCAGGTTTCATTAATTCAGCTACATATTACATGCCTGCCTTGTGGAAGGCATCACGCCAAGTGCTAAGGTTAAAATGGTGAACGAGACAGAAATAGCACCAGCCTTCATTGAACTTAGATTCTAATGAGAAAGGAAGATGTCAATCAAATAATCACAGACCTAAAGAAAGAATTTACACATTTTGAAAAATGCCATGATGGAGGTAAACTGGGTGCTATGGAAGAGCGTATATGGGAAGCAAAGACTACGATAGATAGAGTGGTTAGGGATGGCCTTTCTGAGGAAGTGACATTTAAACCAAGACTGAAATATGAGAGGGGATTGATCACGTGAAAATGGGGTGGAGGGAAGGTGTTCTAGGCTGAGGAAGTAGCATGGCCAAAGGCACCAAACAAGGAAGTATTCTGAAAACTGAAGTTATTTCAGTGGAACTGGTATATAACAAAGAAAAGAAGCCATGGTAAGAAGTGTTGATTTTATTCTAAGTTCTGTGAAATAGTATTTAAGAGATTTAAGCAAAGGAGTGAAATGATTTCATTTATGTCTTAAAAATTCTCTTTAGCCATAGTGTGTCTATTGATTAGATGAAGTCAAGCCAAGCTAGGAGAGCACAAAGGAATCTTGCTTGGTCCAGGCAAGAGATAATTGTGACCCAAACTAGAGTGGAGGAGAACTGAACTGGGGATTATAAGGAGAAGCAGGTTGTGGATGAGCTAGTTTGTATTTCACCTTCCTTCTGTTTTTAGTATTTATTACACTGCCATCTGGTGTATATGGTTACAATTTCCCACCATCTGAGTAAAGCATTGCTATGTGATTTTGACATGAAAGGGAGAAATCCTGTTATCAAGTTAAAGAAATTAAATTTTTTATTCAGAAGATGAGATCATTCATTGTAGATGATCATTCCTCTTGTTAAAATACTTCTACATTTCGTTTATTCCTTGACTCATTCATTCAACAAATATTTGAGTGACTTGTAAGAGTCAAAAATGTGTATCATTTATTAAAGTTGAATTTTTGATTGTTTCCCATGTAAACAATGAAAATGATTCTCTAGGAAAATGGTACCATTGATTTTACTCTGGGGTTTTCCTCACCCTCATGGTTTTATTTATTTCCCTAAATTTCTTCTTTCTAATAGATAATGATGTTTATCAAGATACTTTTCTTCAGAATTAGAACTGGAGTTTGGAAAATATTAAGTAGCAAGTTCAACCCACATTCTGTTAATTCTTATATTTTTCAATAGAAAAAAGAAAAAACTTCTGTCATGATACAGAACAATGCGTATGCAGTGGCTGTTGCCAATTATGCCCCGAATCTTTCAAAAGACCCAGTTCTCTCTACCATTTCCAAGAGTGCAACCACACCAGAACCCAACAAGAAGCCAGAAAACAAGCCAACGGAAGCCAAGAAAACCTTCAACAGTGTTAGCAAAATTGACAGAATGTCTAGAATAGTTTTCCCAGTTTTGTTTGGTACATTTAATTTAGTTTACTGGGCTACATATTTAAACAGAGAACCTGTCTTAGGGGTCAGTCCTTGAATCTAGACACAGCTTATCTTTGGGATGTATAGCAACATTAAATTTGGTTTGTTTTGCTATGTACAGTCTGACTAATAACTGCTAATTTGTGAACCAACATGTACAGTATGTATATAGCGATATAGTTACCGGTAGACCTCTAATGGAGACACGCATTTGCTGACTCTTGGAACTGCAGGCAAGAAAGCACCCCATGCCCAAAGAACCATTGCCTTTTTTAAAGATTAACCCTAGGAACTGGTTTAAAGTGGAATTCAGATGACCTGATTTATTTCCTTTACCACACTTTATAGACCCTTTTGATTTAGGTCTTACATAGGAGTATTTTCTACTGTTGCCTAACTGTAATGTAAGATAACATTGTCATCCCAAGATGAATTCTTCTAAGTAACAGAATGTCTTATCTGTGATATCAGTTCCCTTCCTGAGTGCTCAGAATCCCTGCTAGTGTAATTGGAAGCTTAGCACACATCAGAAGATTTGAAATCAGCTTTTAATTACTCTGTATAGTATCTATAGCCGTGTACATGTTACAGCATGACCAGCTCAAATAATTCAAGTCACCCCTGACAGGATGTTAATGACACCTAGAATTTAATAACTATCAGAATGTCATGGTCATTACATTTTTAGTGTCAGTTTATTTGAACATAATAATTGAAATCCTACAGATTGTTTTAATCATTGGAAACTACCTTAAATTAAAAAAAAAGACAATAAATGTGTCTTACTCTTTCTAGGTATGTTGCATTGAAATTGATCAGCTAAATTTTCTTGGTGCTGGAGACTGGAAAAGCATCCAGTTTGGCTGCTATGGAGCAACATTCATATTGGATTAGAAAATTGTGCCAAAAACTCCCACCAATGAGAATTCATAGGTGTCACAGAATACGGATGAGCACTTATACGATTCTCTTCTTTCCTGTTTACTGCAAATTCTGCCTTAAGGCTTCTTTTCATTAGGACTCAGAAGCCACTAATTAAAAAGGAAAGGGCAGTTAATTGGCACATTTTTCTGTCTTGAAAGCAGCCCTTTCAGAGAAGAATTAATGTAAATCTGCTTTTGTAAATTGCAACTTTAAATTTCACTGACTCAAATTTACAGCAGCTTTGTTATACCAGAAGAGGTTTTGGTAAGAGTTGAACATTTTTAAACTGAAGCTTTAAAGCATCACCAACAGATTGTGGATTAGTTCACATGCACAGACATAAACACACACACACACACATGCACACACAATTAGCTAAATTAGAACACACAAACACATAGCTAAATTAGAAACTGCTGTTTTCAATTTTATATAATTACTAATTATTAATGGGTAAAATTCATTTTCTTTTAATATTTAAAAAATACTCTTTATGCTTCAATTTTATGCCCCTGAAATGTGTTAAGAGAAGTTAACAATTGTGTCTCATGCCTAGATTCAACGTTTTTGGCAAACTTAAAATCCTTTTGACTCCCACATACATTAGCAGTTATTAGTTGACTTTTACTAATAGATACACCTTTATGATGGTGTTTTTGTAGAAACATAAGTAGTCAAATAGTGGCATTTCTTGCGGTTTTGTACAGTATTTCAGTATAGTACATAAATAGGTATGTTCATAAAATCAGTAAAAGGAGTATCTTATGGAAATAAGCAAATCACAACAAAAATTGCTATTCCTTTGACTTGTTTAAATTTAATTTTTTCATTTTCTTTGTTTTAGTGTGATTCTATTATGTGCTTTGCATGATTGTATTAATACCAAGGTCACAAATGCAGAATTTGCCGTGAAGACAGACTTGACATTAAGAATTCCCTCCCAAAAGGTAATCCATCATCCTTAATAAAATAAAATTGTTACGTGAGCCAGTAAATGTATTTCTTTAATTCCCTTCCAATAACATCTTCTTTGTCATCTAAATAGTCTTAAAGTGTGCACTTTATTCAGACGCTGAAATGGAAGATATCATATTTTCTTACACATTTAAATATAGCATAGTCCTTCTGTGTAGTTCAGGGAAGTGTGCAATAGTCTAAGAAGGTACACAGTGCTTCAAGATTAGCAATACAAATGCTTTGTATTGTATACGTTATTAGACACTTTAAAAATATTGTTCTTATAAGTTCTGCATTGCCCCTTTAATGTCTGACTATAAATTATAAATTTATAAATATGTACATATGTAAAAATAGTTGTAAATAGCAATTTCTATAAGACAATAGGAAAGACTCTCCTATGCCTTTGGCAAGGTCTGCACCTACATTGATGGCACCAGTTTTATTAAAAATTATGGTAGATTGACCAGAAAAGTCATCATTGTTGTTATTCTTATTTTTAGTTTCAAGCATTAAAATCTTATTTGAGCCTAATGACATCCTGACAGTTCAGATTTTCCGATAATGTGGACCAGAATTTTCTATTATTTCTCTTACTTTGGTGTATTTTTTACACACTTCTTCATCTTTTAAAGTTTAGATAAATCAAAGGGAGCTTTTGGTCTTGCTGGAGAGGAAGGATGCTCCATGGAAAAGGATTTTAAATTATAAAACCATAGTCTTTACAGTTATTCTTTCTTCCATAAACCATTTCAAAAACACAAAATAAAAGTAACATGGATTAATTAATAAGATTAATTTTTCAGGAAACACATTTTTAATATACTAACAGAGGTCTCTTTGGCCCATAATATTATGCCTATTTTATGCGGTTGTACATTGACATAAAGAGTTATGGTATGTACAAAATGTAGATAAATACATGTACATATATAAAGATATAATCTCATTATTGTATAGCTACTGCTCTGATTCAGCTAATATTTATTCAACAAATATTTTTTACCTCCTACTATATGCCCATGCCATGCCACTCATACCACACCCACAGAATTTAGTTGAAAATTAACGTACATCTCATTTTTATGAAGACTTTAAATCAGACTAAACGGAACATGTAAATTAATTTAGCACTGAGAGTTGTTTTATGATCACTAGTGTGCTAAGATGGTGGCTGTTTTGCTCTTTCTTCTATCCATGTTCCTGTTTGTTTGAATATAAAAATGGAACTAATATAACCATTTAATAAATTTTTTTAAACTTCAGTGATTTTTTAAGTGCCAATCTTAATGTTTAGCAATCTTTTCAGGGATCTCTCTATTTCGAATTTATCTCAGGTTTGGATAAGTGATCCCCTTGAGCCACATTTCCAGTTTTATTTCTTAAATAGTTCATAGTTTATCTAAAAGGAACACAGATATTTCTCTTTGGTATATATATTATATATGTATATAATATGTTTATGATGTGGCTCTTTTTATATTTCTGTTGAGGGAACTGAACTCTGCCATGATATCATAGATTCTAGAGGGGCACCAAAGCCCTATGGATTCTATGGATACTGTACTTTAGCATGGGCCTGTCATCATTCCAATGAGAGGTCAAAGGAATTGCTCAAGTCACCTTCTGCAAAGTCATGGTTCTTCAGCATCTAAGAATTTTTTTTTAAGTACTCCATACTTGATGCTCTCAAACAATGCCTGTGACACAGCAAAATGTTTATTACTTAATTTGAAATTGGGACCCTATTAATAGGCTTATTACACAGGTTATTCCTGTTATTAATCTTCTGCATTCCTATATCTATCTGCATAGATTTGAAACAATTACCAGATTTTTTTTTCATATGAAAAGATGCAGAATTTCAAGGAAATCATGAGCTGACCCATTGCTACCCTGTAGCACATATATTTTCCTTTTAATTGAGGTCCCACGAGCACCTCAGGCTTTCTTTTTATTAATCCAAAGTACACAGACGCATAAAACTTAACTTGAGGAGAGGTGTGGTTATTTTTAACATCTTCATGCTTGAGAACCAGGGAGACTGTATCAAAATCACTCATAACAGTGTGGACAAGACAAATTATAATGTTTTTCTCTATTGAATTCATGCTTTAAAAAACGAAATTCAGTATTTAATAAAATTCTTTAATATCCATAGCCTTGTGTTATCAACACATATAAAAGATACTAATATTTTCTATTAGTATTTAAGCACTCATATTTTCATCAAATTCAAAGACTAATTCAGGACTTTAAAAACAGAGAAAGAAATATCAAATAGAAAAACTCACTGGAAAAATGAAGCAGTTGCGAATTAAAACTAGTGCAGCAGTTTTCCTATTTACCTCCTAAAAAAGAAGAGAAATTATACATACATAAGTATGTACAAGAACATGTAACAGTCATGATTCTATCAAAGTAGGCATCATGATTAAAATACTAAAATAGTTGAAGTTCATGTAAAAGGCATTTGGGAGAGGTAATAAATTATTCAAAATCTATTTCTTATTAGAATTTTGTATCATGTTTTTCTTGAAAATTCTTAATTATCCGACTATTTAGACCACTGTTTTCAACCTTATTTAGTTGAAATATTCTACTTTTCTTTGTTTATATAAAGACACTTTTCTTATATATGTAATTATATACTTCAAACCACTCTCTCTATGTTGTAGTTAATACGTAACATCAGTTTATATTTCCAGTAAGCAAGAACAACTAACAGGTTTATCTTTCAGTTTATAGTAGTATTTCCAAAGAACATTTAATAAGGTCTTAGCTTTGATTAGAAGTGTGTGTGTGTGTGTTTGTGTGTGTCTGTATTTCCCAGCTATGAAAGAAAATTTTGAGAAATTCAGACAAATTTATGAAATCTAAACAATTTATTTTATTAATGATCCAATCCCAAATGTTGCTCTTACTAAAGCAGCAATTAACTTAGTCAATAGACTAGGTTTTTCAATAGACCCATAACAAATTTATTAATTGGAATTTAGTCTTGAGCCACACATATATGGTTAGAAATATCCTTCCTATAAATGTGTGAACATTTTTCTGATGTATTTCCCATTGACTCTTTTGAGCCATTAAGTTCAAAATGATGTCACAATTCTACTCGTAAGATAGGATACAAAAATCTTAGAATTCTAAGTTTCTCAATGGAGGTTTGTGAAAGCCTCCATTAAATTAAATATCTGGTTGATCATTTACAAATACCAAGTCATTTATATTAATTACTGGTTAGTTGCATACCTTTTTGAATTGAAATGATTCTGAGTATATTTTTATGGAGAGTTCATCACATGCTAGTCAATGTTCTAAGCCCTTTACATATATTACCTCGTTCAGTCCTCACAACTACCGTAAATCACTGTGTGATTCTTGAAGTTCTGGAAGTTTAGAATTTCTATATAGTACACCAATACGCTAGTCTAACACATATTTTAGGGAAAGTAAAAAAAAAGTTGTATTTTTTTTGCTTTGATGCTAATTTATATTCATATCTTTTTGGGAGCATCAATCCATTAAGAAGGCCACTGTATGCTTTTCTACATGACAAAAACCAAGCAAACACTAAACACTAAACTGTAGAGCAACCATGAATCCATTTTTGTGAAACTAGCTATTCACTAACATTGGTTATAATTTAGGTTCTGGTAATACATTGCATTTTCCTTTTTTGATCCATAGGTGATGATACTGTATAAAAAAATACTTAAAGTTGATTAAGCACAGAAAATAATAAGCACTTTCCTCTTTAATTTACTCTATTTTTTTTTTTTTTTTGCTTTGCCAGTTGTTAGGGGTTAGAGAGGTTTTGTTTTTATTTGCCACATTGTTGGTTTCATGACATTTAAACCCATTGGGCTTCAAGGATTAAGTATTGATTTCATCAGTTTGTTGCAAATTACTATTTATAGAAAGAAGTCTAAACTGCCCCAAATAAATGCCAGTGTGGGAACTATAAAGGTTGTATTAGCTTAGTTGGTATGAAAATTTCAGTTTTTCTTGCTTTGTTTTAGAAGACTTACTTTACCATAACATGCTGCCAAATGCAGCCAATATTATTGGATAAATATGAGTTAACTCCAACAAAGTTTATTTGTAAAAACAAATGGTATTAGGAAAGCAAAACAAAGGAATTAGAGAATTACTTTAGGTATAATGGCTTATAGATTTGTTCCCAATTATTTATTTTTAAAATATTCAGCATAGTGGTTGAAGCTCTTGGCTGTGTTTTAAACCCAGCATAATGTGTGAAGAAGTTTAATGTATGATTAGAAAAGCCTAAATGAAACTGAACTTTGAGCTACAATTTTCATGAATTAAACTCTGTCATCCATGGATAAGTCCTTGATTGCTTGTTGATTTTGGGTGCCTGCTCCATAATTAATTTCAAGTTTGTTGGTATCCAGTTTTTTTCAAGATTCTTCTGAGCAGATACCAATTCAGGTTTTGGTGTGCTCCAAACTGAGGAATATGACCTTTCATGAAATATTCCCTTTAGAGGGGACGAGCGTAGAAACTTAAGAAAGCTTCATATTTGTTGCTAAATTAGAAAAGAAAAAAACAAAAAAGAATGAAATGTTTTCCCCTTGCTACACATTAATAATAAAATTACAAGCAGAGAGAATGCATGATAAAGCTCCAACACTAAACTTTGAATATTCACATTAGGTGAAATTTGAAATTTTTTGGGTGACAGTGTACTTGTATGGTAGGTTTTCTGGTTTGAGAAAATCATTTGGGAGATAATAAAATTGTAATTTGTGACCTTGTTGTAATTGGGAAAAGTCACTATTTTTTATGTATGTAAGATAATTTGACCTTTATTGAATGTGTCATTATGCTTGCTGTTTAAAACATTTCTAATTAATCACATGCAAATTTATGCTAAACATTATCTTTTGTACTTATTAAAGTTAATTTAAATATATTTGATCTGAAA